TATGGTGACCATTATCAAGTTTGTAATAAGGCCAAGTGGCCTGGCAATAAAAAACCAACTTTTGGGGCTGCAAGGTGCCTTTGAGACCAAGAGTGAGTGTTTCCCTGAAGATGTGAGGTTATGGAGTGAGTAGCTGTCTCAACGGGTACCCGAGAGGAGTGTCTTTTTGTAGACAGGAAGAAATATTTTCCATTGTGGCCAAATTAAGGGTGCGCGCCGAAGGCCATAAAGGCCATAAAGACTTTGAGGTCCCTCAAAAAGGGGAGCTGGGGAATGGTTTTCATGGAGTTGAGCTGGGAGTGGGCGCTTAGGTAATTGTGGAATCTTGGGATTGAGAGGACTTGACGTACGTGCAAAAAGGGAGCAGGGTATTTTTTTTCTGGGACTAGAACAACAACACAGAGTTACTTTTGGAGAGATAAATTGTTTCTTGGGGCTGGTGCCCAGTTGAGCAGATATCATGTTAGAGATAGCTAAGCCCCAAGCTGGCTGAATCTATCAATAAGTATTCTGTAAAATGATAAAAATTATATGGAAAGATATTTGTAGGTAAAATCCAGGTAGTATACCATTTTGGATGGTCTTAAGGGGCTTGGGCATCTACAAGTTGGGCATCCCCTTGGGGTCCTGGACCCAGTCTCCTGCAGATACCACGGGAGGACTGTTCTTGTCTGCGGGAGAAAGGCAGAATTTAAATACAGAGGAAGGCTTTAAAGCCAATGCTCTACTCTACTGGCCTGAGAGTGCTTCCCAAATACTGAAAGAGTAATATAGTAGTACTCTCTAGGTACACAGAACTATCTTAACATAAGGTAGAATTTTCTGGACTGCTAATTTAAGGCTTTAATAGTGCATTTAAGCTCTCAAGAAACATGGGATAGGCCTTTTGGTACATGCCACATACCAGACTCTGGACTGTGATCTGTGATTACATTCTCAAATTCATGCAGTTAGTGGCTCTCCAAAGAGTGGGTAGGATTTATTTATAAAGGTAAAATGTCGTATCTGAATACGTCAAGCATCCAGAATCAGAAATGCTCTTTTGATAGATTTAAATTACAGCACTACAGTATCTAAAGTATCTAAATTACAGCACTACAGCACTAAAGTATATAGGAGTTAGTTTTTCTTTTTTTCTTTTTTAATCGGTACCAGGGATTGAACTCAAGACCTCATGCTTACAAGGCAGGCACTTATGCCACTGAGCTAAATCCCCAGCTCCCAGGAGTTAAGTTTTTCACTACTTTCCCAAGAGAAGCTATTATAAATCCTAAAATTTTTGTATTTTGATGACAAAAATACTTTATTTAAATTTATATTTATCTATGGAGGATGAGTATTTTTCAAATTTATTAATAATTTAATATGTAATTATATAATACATAAATATGAAAAAGTAAAAATTTTCCCTGATGAGAGTTTGTATTTAATATAAAAAGAAGCTACTGCCGGGGATTTAGCCCAGTGGCATAAGCGCCTACCTTGCAAGCGCGTGGTTGTGAGTTCAACCACCGCCCCCCAAAAGCAGCTACTGATTGACAAAGAGACAGAGGGAAGAAATAGTCATCTACCAACGCAACTCATGAGCTCACTAGCTCTGGAGAGACCACTTATAGTCTAAAGTACAATGTCATTTAAAAACAAAATTAGAACAGAATTCATATAGAAAATTGGACATGACCCATTGATTAAGGTTGATGACTATAAAGTTAGTGTGAAAAGTTATTTTTGGTACTGCTAGAAACATTTCATCATTTTATCAAAAACAGGGATGTATCATTGGCAAAAATTACAAGAAAAAAAGTACACAAGTATCTCCTGATGTTGAAAATTGGAGATCTTTGAGTAACAAAGGAACCACTTACTTTCTTTGGGGCTTTTTAGTCTTCTAGACTGACCTGTGTTATTACAAATCCTGGAAATATCCTTTATGCTGTACAATGAAGTAGACAGGCACATGTAGCTCTTTAAATTTATATTAAAATTAAATTAATTAAAATTTTAATTATAGGTCGGGCATGGTGGCACACTTCTGTAATCCTAGCACTTGGGAAGCTGAAGCAGGAGAAACATTTGCAAATTTGAGACCAGCCTGGGCTACAAAGTGAGCCCAAGGCTAGCCTGAACTGTGTGTTGAGACTGTGTCTCAAAAAGACCAAAAAAAAAAAAAAAAAAAATTTAGTTATACAGAAGCTAGATGGCAAGTGCTCAGTGGTGCATGAGCTAGTGAGCTAGTGGCTATCTTACTGGATGGAACAGACAATTTACATGGTTGTACAAAGTCTGTCCTGTTGGTCAGTGCCGCTGTACAAGCAAGAATGCCCAAAAAGGGAAGTGGGTTTTAGGTGCTGACTGACTCATTTACTGCCCTGCCCTAAACTGCATTTGCTCTACATATTAAACAGACAAATTCAGAGACCACACTGAAGATGGCCATGTTATGATTTGCTTCTCAGATTAACCTAATTTAAAGAGGTTCATGTTAATGTTTTAGCTATTTAAGAAAATTATTTGAAAGCTTTTTATCTTTTGCATTCTGTAATGCTGTATCTGTATATAATAGTTTTCACATCATTTGCTATGAAAGTTTTAATCTGTGGCTACATAATACCGCTCTTTGTTGTAGGAAATGCTTTTTTTCGAAAATTTCTCTATTTTTGTGGTTATAAAAGTACTCATGATAAAAAATTAAGACCCATGGTTATAAAAAAATAAGTCAACTGTAACCCTACCATCCAGAGATAATCACAGCTAACATGTTGATATTCTTCTAGAATTTTTTGCAGGCATGTCTACACAGAAATCAATTTATAGGGGCCAGGGATAGAGCTCAGCAGCACAAGTGCCTGCCTGTCAAGGGCAAGATCTCGAGTTCAATTCTTGTTCCAAAAAAACCAAAAAACCAAAACACATTTGCAATAATGGGGCTATACTATAGTCTGAATTTCATTGAAACAACATCAAATGTCTCTACACACACACACACACACACGTTTGTCTTTTCTACTAGTTGCATAGTACTACCCTGTGAATGTACCATTATTATTAAGCCAGTCTGGATGTTTTCAGTTTATGGCATCATAAACAACATGAATAACATCTCTGTTTACATTTTAGAATGCTTTGGATTAGATTAGTCTACTATTAATAAAGTCAACAGAAACTTTGTCAGCCATACATCAAACTTTATTTTACACCAAATTTTAGAGGATTGATGCTTTTTCAAATGTAATTATACAAAGCTTCAAAAAACTAGATTCTAGAAGCCAAAACCATCACTGTTTGACATTCCTAAATTTAAATACACTTTTAAGAGAAAACAGATGATCTCTTAACGTTTCTGTGTAAATTCCAAGTTTTTTCAAAAAAATTCCAAATTTGTTTCAAGAAAAATAACAATTTAGTAAAACAGTTACAGCTGACTTTACAGCCACACTGATGGGTTTGGAGACCAGCTCTGCTGTGTGACCTTCGGTATACTAAGGTGTGCCTCAGTTTCTGCACTGGTAAAATGGGGTAAACAAAAAATGGGGTGGGAGGAGTTGGCTACTTCACAAGATTTTTGTGACATATCTTCTAACTACAGTACCTTAGTATTTGGTTTGGCTGTATAGCATTTTCTGTTATATAAGTGAAATAGAACATTTATATTTTAAATGAAAGTGAATGAAGCAGAATATAGTACCACATGCCTGTAATCTCAACACTCTGGATGTTTGAAGCAGGAGGATAGCAACTTCGAGCCCTGTATGGGCAATTTACAAATTAAAAAAAAGGGCTAGAGATACAGCTTAGTACGAAGACCCTAGGGTGAATCCCCAGTACTTGGGAAAAAAAAAAAGAATTAAAAAAAAAAAAAGCAAACTTTTCTTTGGGCTGTGAAATAGTCTAGGACAGTGGTGGCAAATCTATGGCACATGTGCCAGAGTTGGCACACAGAGCCTTCTCAGTCAGTGCTATAAGCCAAGTCGCCACAGCCACGGTTTGACAAATTTAGCACACAGACAACAGCAAAGATCACACTAATTATGCGCAAGCACACCAAATGCAAACTTTTACCATTCAATAAAAAGCTGTATCACTGAAAGCTTTGTTACTGTGTTTTTAAGACAAAAGATGTTAACTTTTGAGTTGTTTTTTCTAAACTAAAACCTCAAAAAACAAACAAACTTCAGTATTGTGGTTTAATCGGGCTGTTGGTACTTAGTTTTAGGTTGCAGTTCGGGTACTTGGTCTCTAAAAGGTTCATCATCACTGACTTAGAATATAAATCTTAATGTGGGAATTTATTGGCCAACAACCCAAGTAGCTAAATTATAATTTGCTTCAATATTCCCTTTAAATAAAGCAAGCTACATATCTTAAATAGGCCAAGGAAGTTTCTGTAATACCATCATACTTGTGATCAATCTATTTAAAGTTTTACCCAATAAACATTTGATCCTGTAAGAGTTGAGAACTTCTAGAGTTCAACATGAAAATAACTTACAAAATTTTTATTAGCAAAGCATGAAATTTTATATTCATAAATATTACTGGAATGGATTTCTCAAAATGTTCAACAGCTGCCAGCAAGAAACCAAAATTTAGATATTCAAATGTATACTAAAAAACTAATTTAAATTCCTACAGCAAGAGCCAGATCTATTTTCCTTGGTTTCATTAAATGCTCTTACTGAATTATCAGATAAGCACATTCATTTCCATGTATTTGTGTATACCTTATCATTGCTATGTGTGTGAGATTTTAAATCACTGACTTTGGTTATAACTTTTACATGTAACTTTAATAGATCTGTTTATAAAATCAAGTCAATAGTTTTAGGAACCTAAGAGTTTCTAGTTAAAAAAAAAAAAACCCAAAAAACAAAAATACAAACTTTAGCTAAACAATTACTGATAGGGAATCTGAACATATCCACTTTTTTTTTGGTGGTGGTGCCAGGCATCAAAAGCAGGGCGTCTCACGTGCTAGCCAGGTGCTCTACCACTGAGTCATATTTTCAGTCCAACAATTTTATTTTATTTTTTTGGTTGGGGGAGGGGAAAATGAGCTTTATTGAACTTATCCACCAGGGTAGAAATAATGCCTGTACAAAACCAAATGTTTGTTATTATAACTTCAGCATCACAAAGTCCAAAGTTTTAAAAACAGTCAATCAAAACCCACGACTTCAGAATCAACACTTTCTTTGAAGCCACAGTAACATTTAAATATAGTTAAGACTCCAATACAGAAATTGACTGGGTAGAAAGCTAACTGAACTTCCAACTTGCTCACATAGAATTACAGAAACACAAAATTGTATATTTCACAGAGATACAGAACCACTGGAATCACCAACACTGGACAGTCGTTGAGAGTACTTAGCGTCCTGGATAATAAGGGATCCAGGTGTCCTTCACACAGTCTTTTGTTGTCCTTTCTTCCCAATCAGAGACTTATGGATATGTGGGATGACCCCACCACCAGCAATTGTAGCCTTGATGAGTGAGTCCAGTTCTTCATCTCCACGAATGGCAAGTTGCAAGTGGCGAGGGGTAATGCGCTTCACCTTCAGGTCTTTGGATGCATTTCCTGCCAGTTCAAGCACCTCTGCTGTGAGGTACTCCAGGATGGCTGCGCTGTACACGGCAGCCGTGGCACCCACACGCCCGTGGCTAGTGGTCCTGGACTTCAGGAGGCGGTGGATGCGGCCCACAGGGAACTGTAGGCCGGCCCTCTGCGAGCGGGAAACACCCTTTGTCTTGGCCTTGCCCGAATCCTTCCCAGCCTTCCCCCCAGCCATTCCAAATTCTGCCCAGACTCAGGCACTCACGCAGTGAAACCAGCCAGGCCAACACTCGGGGAGGCCTACCACTCTTTCGCCTCCCCAAGATTCAAACTACTGGACAATTGTGTCCTTAACAATTCAGACTATACACACTTCTCTTCAAGGTACCTTATGAGGTCTAAATGTAAGTGATTTTAAACTCCTAAATATATTGTTTGTAACAGATTATCACTGCTATCTAGGGAAAAAGCAAAGTAAGCAGTGCTTGGGAGAAGTAATGCTCTGCTGGTATTTTGGCCATAGGTTTGCTTCAGGAAACAGCACTCTCTTTGAAGTGAAAGAATTTATCTGCCTCCTATTTGATGGGGTTCAGAGCTAAGATGGATGGATACATAAACACGGGGCACTCGTATCTTCTTGGAGGTGTTCTAGAGGAAGTTCACATTCATTCCATGATTGGAAAAATCTAGTTCATCTTCCTCTGGTATTTCCAATGCTTGTCCTGGATGTAGCAGCTGAAGATATCTAGAATGATGAGCAGTCTGGCTACATCTGTAACACAAAACAATCAGGTTGCAAAAATGTGTGCCATAAACAGGCCTTTCCTAGCTCCCTCAGCAGATACTGGGTTCTGTGGTTTGTAGTTATGTCTTTACCATCTCTAGTCTATATGAGCCATCCTTTTATACCAATCATGAGTTCCAGAGAAAGAGGGGCAGCGATGTAAATTCAATTAAGAAGAGAATTGGATGGGCTTGAGTCTGAAATGCCTGTGGATCAAAGGAGACTGGAAAGAGCTTTGTCAGTTGGAACAAAGGAAACTAAATAAAGCTCCATTCAGAAGAGCCTTTCCTTGCACTTACGTGTTACACATTTTCACTTGCTCTATGGTTAAGTTCGGCCAGTGATCGGACAAAGGCAGCCTCTATTTAAATGTCATAGCCAGGCATGGTAACACATGTCTGTAATCCTTGTACTTGGGAGGCTGAAGCAAGAGGATTGTTGAGATTTCGAGACCAGTCTGGATTACAAAATGAGCTCAAAGCAAGCCTGAACTGTACAGAGAGACCCTGTCTCAAAAACAAACAAACAAACAAACAAAAAAAAAAAAACAACAAAAAAAACTCATGGCCACTCATGTCCAATATAATTGATATTTTGGTCTCAAGACCCACAGAAACAACAATATTTCTATTACTTATGCAACCCATAGCCATTGTTTCACTTTTCTTAAACATTCTAGAAATTTTCCACTTAATTTTTTTCCATTTAGGTTTTAAAAAAATTAAGAGAGGGGCTGGGGATTTAGCTCAGCGGCATAAGCGCCTGCCTTGCAAGCAGGCGGTCGTGAGTTCGATCCCTGGTACCAATAAAAATGAAAAAGACAAAAAAAAAAAAAAAAAATTAAGAGAGCCTTGGGGGTCAATATAAAATGAAAGAATTATAATGAATTCTATGCAAACAAGTCAAAACAAAAAATCTTGCAAGTATCAGTGCATATTTGCAAATTCACTGAGGCAACAAAAACACCCTCTTCTGTACCTGATTATTATCTGTTAATGGAAAAGGACAAACACATAGTAGCATCTTCTGCATTTCAGGCAAGTGCTGAAAATCACAGTGTAAATGATGAGAAATGCACTTTGAATGAACAGGAAACTAATGAGATGTTCGTAATTAATATTAACTGTAGTCACCTTCATAACATCAGCTCAAATAATTACAAAGACACTCATAACATATCTGGAAAAGAAGTCACTGTAGCCACTTAAGGGAGAAATGAGAAGTTGATGACGAAAGTAGCAAAAAGAACCATGTTCTAGAAGCCACAGTTCTATTCTCAGTATTGCTATACAAACAACTACCTAAGGCAGCCACCTCACACAGCTTTCCTGCCAGCTACCTGCATCTAGAAACTTTGGTGGCTTAGTGTTATGTGGAGTCCATCCACAGAAGATGAAAACGAGGGTCATCTCCTAAAGCTAACCTCAGGGGCCAGGTCACAGAGGGTCCAAGCAGAAGCCCTCTTTCTTCACAGGGAGACTCCCAACCTTTTGATGTGAAACATTCCTGATTCTTTGGCAGACTTGTCCTTTAAGCCAAAGTTTGAAAGAAATTTGTCCTACTAAGGAGTCTTTCTTGGTTGTAGTACTCACTGGTGATCCAACATCATCACTTTAGAGACGGGGTCTCATTATGAGATTCAAGTTGGCCTTGAATTTATATGATTCACCTGTCTGAGCTTTCCAAGTGTGGGATTATAGGCATATGCCACCTTTTGGATCTAATATTCAATTTCTAGTTTTCTAGCCTGATTATAAAGCTCCTTTATGGTCTTTGGGAAAACAAATAAGCTAAAATAAATAACATGGGTGAGGAATATAGCTCAGTGATAGAGTTTGTGCATAAGGCCCTTGTTTGGACCCAAAGATTTGAAAAGAAAAAAGATACACGCAAAAATACATGACACATGACCTTTAAAGAATTTGGAGAACTGAAGAGGACCCGGAGAAATGCAAGTGGGGGGGGGGAGATAAGGGACTTAGAGGTATTGTGCCCACCTTCTCCAACTCAGATGTTAGGGCTAGTTGATTCACTATATGGGTAGAAGGGTGTATCTGAAATTTGGACCATTCTAGAAAATTAATCAAAAATATATATTGAGGGTAGATGATAGCAATAGTTACAGGAATGCTGTAACCTTTTTTTTTTTTTGGACCTGTGTTAATCTATGGAAAACACTGGCGCAGCTCCGCAGTAATACACAAGGATTACAGTTTCTAAAACCTTCGGGAGTGTTGATTAAAATGAAAAACCCCTATCTTTGGCACATAGTTACGTACTTTTTATTAGCACTATCCTGCTCATCCTTCAGAAATTCACTTTACTCAAGCCACACAAAAAAAGGAGACTCCAAATATAAAGGTTAGAGCTAAAACAGATAATCTGTAACATTCTTTGCAAGCCATTGTAAATCCAAGTGGCACCCCGCGTCTGACGTGCCTTTTTTCGGATCAGAGCCACATTGCCCAGCACATACAGGTTAGCATAACCTCAGAGGTCCCAGGTTGGGTAATCCACCCTCCAGCAAACGTTCCAGCCCCCCGGCCCCGCCCTGGCTACCACGCCCACCTCCGCTACCCCTTTACACTCCCGCCGCGTTACCAAAACCTTGCTTCTCGCGCAGCAACCGACTCACCACGGGGACCGGAAAAGGAAGGAAAGGTACTACAGTACTCCCACAGCTCGAAGGGCGGGCGTACGCAGCCTCCCTTGCTTAGGCCAGCCGCGGGGAGTCAGAGCGTCTCGGTCACCATGAAAACAGGCCACACCCCAGCGAGCAAGGCCCGTGGCTCGCAAATACGCAGGCGCGCACTGGCTTCTGCGCATGAGCAGTGCTGCTCCGAGCCCGCCTGCCACGGTCTCCGGCGCCAGCTACGCCGTTGCCCCAGTCACTATGGCCCATTACAAAGTGAGAGGGGCGCGGCGTGGCTGGGGAGTACGGGCGGTAGCCACCCGCTGGTCGGCTCCGGGAGGGAGTTGGGGCGCGCGCGCGCAGGTCTTGGGGGCCTAAGGCAGTAAGGCGGGGTTGCTGGACTCCAGTGCCTTCTTCCTGCTCTGGCCCCCGGGCTCCGGTCTCTGACCCGCGGTGTCTCCTCAGGCCGCTGACTCGAAGCGCGAGCAGTTCCGGAGATACTTGGAGAAGTCTGGGGTGCTGGACACGTTGACCAAGGGTGAGCATGGGCCAGGAAAGGGTGCCTTGTGCTCTGGTGGTCCTTAGAGCGCAGCGTCCCTGACGGGCTACGGCGTGCTCGAGAAGGGATGGGGAGAGCAGCCTAGGGTCTAGCAGAGTGGGCCTCGGGATCAGTGGGAACCGGCGTGCACAAGCGGCCGCGGCCGAACGGCCGCTGCCGGACAGGGTAATCTCGTTCACTCTCCGCGCCATGAGTGAAACTCTCGCAGCTGTTGCAAAGTCTCTCCAACTTCGTTGTTTTGCCTTGAGCAGCCGCAGTGAATGTTTAACATCTTGAGATTCTTAGCCCTTCTCATTTTATAGGTTTTTGCATAGTCCTTAGAATCTTAAGGAACACATTCCCCCGAAACAAGCAGCAGTTTGGACAAACATCAGATTTGAATGTGGGCTATAAAGTACATGAGTGAGCAAAAAATCTCAAAGTAGACAATTCATAGGCAACTTGGTTGTGGCTTTCCAGTGTCTCTCTATAGTAATTCGTAGACTGTGTGGACTTTGTAAAAGAGTTACAGCTAAGATTTGAGGTCATATCAAAAGTTGTATTTATACACTTTAATAGAAACTTGCATCAGGCACAAGTGGTACACACCTGTAATCCCAGCACTTTGGAAAGCTAAAGCAGGACAGGTAAGTGAGGCCCTGTCTCAAAATAAAAAATAAATTGAAAGGGGTGGATATAGCTCTCTGTGAAGGATTTGGGTTCAATCCTTAGTACTGCTCATCCCCCAAGTAAGTTTACTGTTACACTGTATTTCTTCCTTCCTGTGTTCAAGATGTAAGTAGACTAGAATAAGGTGCTTAAAACAGGAGTATTCCAAGAGGTAATGAAGTGCTGTTTGCTTAATTAATTCAGCAGTAATTTGAATGTATACTGTGTTAACTGGCTGGGATTTTCAAGGGTGTTAAATGGAATTGCTGGTAGAGATGAGAACCTGGGTCTATGTGAAAATAGGACCTGTCTGAGAAACAATTTGGTAACTGCCCTTTGGGCAGAAATAAAGGTTAGGGGAAAAGGCTGGGATTTTAGTAGAAAGCAGTGCTTTGCATGGCTGGGCTGGCAGTTTTCAGTTGGTACCTACTTTGAGATCAGATACAGTACTGTTTTTGCAGATAGCTTTCAGCAAATAGTAAGGATATACCTAGTGAAATCAAGTGTTAATAAGTGCTTAGAATATCGTTTCTTGAAGAAACCCTACACGTTTACTTATCTCATCTATTTTATTTAGGAATCTGTTTTAAACATTGGGGACAGAGCTGTGAGGAAAAAAAAGGCCCCAATGATGTCTGCCTGTAAACCCCAGTATTCTGCCAGGCTGAGGCAAGGGGACTGCAAGTTTGAGCCCAGCCTGGACCACATCCTATCTTTAAAAAAAAATAGCCTGTTGTCATGAGCATGTATCTTAGCTGGAGAAATGAACAATAAAGAAATACACAGTGTTAGCTAGTGGTACACATTAATGACTAACAAAAACCTAGCATGATTAGGGGATAGTGTGTGGCATTTTACGCAGTGTTGGTAGGGGCTTTCTTACAAAGTTATTTTTTAGTACAGATCTGAATGAAATAGTGTATGATGTCAAGAGTTCCAGGAAATACAGGTTAAGCATCCCTATTTTGAAAATCTGAAATCCAGAATGCTCTAAAATCTGAAGTTTTTGAGCACTGATGTGATGCCAAAGGTTGAAAATTCCACACCTGACTGCATGACATGCCACAATCAAGATGGAGGTGTATTAGAAAGCCTATATAAAATTACTTTCAGCTATGTATATAAGGTGTATATAAAGCATAAATAAATTGTCATCCCCAAAATACCTCATAGATGTAAATACTTAAAAAGTCTGGGAAAATCCAAAATCTAACATACTTCTTGTCCTAAATATTTTGGATAAGGGATCCTGAAGCTGTATAAGGCCTTAGTGGCTGGATGGAGTGAAAGCTAGATTACAGGAAGGATAGTGACAGTTGTAGGAGATAAGTGATTACAGAGAAGATGCACAGCCTTGTGGCCGTACAGAATTGCTTCATGCATGATGCTGGTCCTGGTGGCACATCCCTGTAATTTCAGCACTCGAAAGGCTGAGGCAGAAAGATTGCTGCAATGTAGAGGCCAGTGTGGACTACATAGTAGTGAGTTCAAGGCCAGTCTGAACATAGTGATACCCTGTCTTAAAAAAAAAAATTAGGAGAGACTGAAAATC